GGGACATTTCAATAAGCAGCATGCATCTGTTTTAAGCAGGTCTAGTTATTTTTAAAAATATAAACTAACCAGGTGCAGCCGACGATTCTTTCCACGGTTTCTCCATTTTCATCGTGAACCACACAGCCAACCGGTTTGTGCCCGTACTTATCCGGTCGTACTTCACACATAAACACTGTATTGTCCTTATGATAGCGATCACCATCGTAAAGCAGTTTATCTTTGAAATGACAGCCAACACAGATTTTCTGACATCGCCCGTGATTTATTTTGCAATAGTAAATAAAATCACCGTCCTGAAAATTTCTTACCATGTAATTTTTGTGCCTCTGCACTTTTCTACAAAAATGCAAGATTTCTCAGAATTCACTGATCTCCCATGCGGTATTCGGTGAGGGTCCGCACATATATCGAACAATCTGGAAGCATAGAGACCAGGATCGAAGGGCCTAGCACAGCTGCACCAGACAAAATGTGGGAACGCCTCAGTGACACACTAATATGAAATCCCCAAACCGAATGTCCGATTGAGTTTATTGCGGTTATAGTGTTATTCTCAATATTTCTCTCTGTTTTTGAAGAATCCCATAACCCGATGGTTTCGCAACATACTTTATGAGCGAATGCGAAACAGCCCCATTACTGTAGGAAAAAGGAGTTCCGGATGTTACGCATCGTTCTTTTTTTCTGTACGTCGTATCGGCCCCATAATGCATTTACGCCAAGTGCAATTGAAATGTCAGTTTTTGTAATTTTTGTTAGAGGTCCAATCTTCTGTAGTGATCGATCTGGTAAAAAGCTGACGATGGCGTTCAATTACGCCAAAAACTACTTTCTTTTGTGAGAAAAAATAATTCGCTGATCAACAGTTTTTACGAGCTTCACTGAAAATAGAACAAGACTTGTCAGTGAATGGTGCTAACTTCAAAAAAAGATATTGCTACTCTACGAGAAATGAAAAGTCCAGCAAGAAACTACCGAGACTTTTAAGTATGGGACAAGTTGCAGACACGTGCTGAAGACAAACAACTCAGAATAGAGTATCTTAGTAATATCTGGGAAAGAGAGATGAAGTTAAACCAGTAATTTTGCCGATTCCAATGGCACTCAATATAACTCATTTGTTGTTAAAAATTATTTCAAAAAGGGGTTATTTATCTTTCAGAGAAAAGCTTCTCAATTATCAGAGCTCCTAAAACGCGCTCGGGTTTTTTTTTTTCTTTTTTTTAGTAATTCAAGCTATATCATCTCTCTTGCTCTTCATTCTACAGGTTTCTTTACCTAATGTGTCCAGCTTGCTTCATTATTGCTTTTATGTTTAAAGATGAAAAATCCGTAAAGACGCAAACACACAAACAACCCCTCGACAATATGCGTTTTTGCACTGTACAGATGCAAAAAACGCATAATAAAAGTCATATAATATTAAAAAATATTCACCTCACAGCTTGACTCATAAATCTGATATCACAATAATTTGCTGGTAT